GCTTTCTGCTTGCATGCAGTATTTGAATTAAACATGGAATGAATTAGACATGAATGGTGACAGGCAAGACTATTCTAAACTAATCCATGGATTTTTTTTTATTTTATTTTTTTTTTAGTTCTGAGTGCTTCTAACTTTTAATGGTGACAAAAGATGCTTTTTTTTTCCCCTGAGAGTTATACTTTCAGAACATTTTTGTTTACAGTAATAGTCCTTATTTCATATCAGAGGAGAGCTTCAGATGCAGAAGAAATTCTTAACACTGAATGTTTTAAGGGGTGCAGTGTTTCCTGGTGCAAATCATCATTTCTTAAGTCTACTGCTTCATGCTTCAAGAGGCATGGATTTAAATACTGAGCTATTTAAAAACTGTTTATGTCCAGGAAAAAAGGAATAGTTGCTACACCCAGTACTGCAGCTGCTCCGACATAAATGTGAGCACTGATCTGTTGCATTTTTCAGTTTTGACACAGTAAACAAGGATGTCCCTGTCAACCTCTCCCTCCGACGAATCTGGCTGCTGCATCTTCATTTTTTAAGTTTGTGAAAGTGAAGCAGCAAACAGTTATCTAAAAGTACATATTTAATTCATCTCTTATTTCCAAGAGGAAGAGGGGAAGAGGGGAGAACAACCAAGAAACAGTAAGAGCGAAAGAACACAGACACGAATTTCTAGAGAGGCAGTTTTCCCTTGTCAAATATTCAAGCTATGAAGAGCTGAATCGTTAACTCCTCTATTAAAAGACACCAATTTTCAGAAAGGAGGGATACAAGAGGATTTTTTATTTTCTTTTTTAAAGAATTAACTCACTGGCTGAGGGACTCATGGAAGAATGGCACAAATGAACAGCAAAAATTTAAACAGCAAAGTAGAATTTCACTTAATACACATAGGAAATAAACATAATGAAGCACAAAGTGCATTCAGAGCACAAATACATAGTGTCCTGCTTAATTTATCATTAGGGTACATGAAAAAAGTCCTGGGTTTATTTAGGTGAAGCGTACCTCAAGGGAGTATCATACACGGAATGTTAAGGTCTTCATTCCTTCCCTGCCTCAAAGTCCAAGGTCCTTTCTGGTGCCTTCCACTTCAGGCTGACCCTCAGCTCCTCCTGTTCCCTTTCACTGTCCAGTCCATGCATTCGTACAAGGGTATATACACATCAGAATTGTTTAGGTTAGGTTACGTTGAGTCTGAGCATTAATCCAGCACTGCCAAGTCCACCACTAAACCATGCCCCTAAGCATCACGTCTACCATCTTTTAAATACCTCCAGGGATGGTGACTCCACTGCTTCTCCGAGCAGCTTGTTCCAATGCTGGGTAACTCTTTCAGTGAAGAAATTTTTCCAAATATTTTTCCTAAGCCTCCCTTGACACAACTTGAGGCCACTTCCTCTTGTCCTATTATTTGGAAAAAGAAACCAACACCAGCCTCAATCCAGCCTCCTTTCAGGTAGTTGTAGAGAGCAGTAATGTCTCCTCTGAGCCTCCTTTTCTCCAGGCTGAACAACCCCAGTTCCATCAGCCACTCCTCATAACATTTGTGCTCCAGACCCTTCACTAGCTTCATTACCCTTCTGTGGACCTGCTCCAGTACCTCAATGTTTCCTTGCAGTGAGGGGCCTGAACTTCATTCACCAGCACTCTTTGGGCCCAGCCATCCATCCAGTTTTTACCCAGTGAAGAAGACACCTGTCCAAGCCATGAGCAGCCAGTTTCTCCAGAAGAATGCTGTGGGATATACTGTCAAAGTTCTTATTAAAGTCTAGGTAGACAAGATCCACAGCCTTTCTCTCATCTGCTATGTGAACCACCTTGTCATGGAAGGAGATCATGTTAGTCAAGCAGGACCTGCTTTTAATAAACCCATGCTGACTGGGCCTGATCACCTGTACGTGCTGCATGATGGCAGTCAGGATGATCTGTTCCATAACCTTCCCTGGCACCAAGGTCAGGCTGACAGGCCTGTAGTCTGGATCTTTCTTCCAGCTCTTCTTGTATAGATGGGCATCACATTTGCTAACCTTAATGCCTTTAGTGGAGCCTTGATGCTCACACTGATCCAGAGTATAGCATTGCCCTCTTTCCCGCCCCCCCTCTCCTCCTCACAGATCTTGCCCAATACAATGAGTATACATGAAGGGTTTGCAAGCTCCACGAGAACAGTGAACAAGTCTCTGCTCTGCCATATAAGAGCAGCCTGGAAAGCCAAGTCAGCTTAGCAAAGCTCAGTCAGTATCAAGAGTTTAAACTGAAGAGCTGAGCTGGATGTGCACAGCTCTGTATATTTGGTGTAGTAAATAATTATGTGTCAGGCCACTCCAGACTCACACATTACAGCTGAAAGACAACTATGACTGCAGAAAATATAGATGCAGCTGGGCATGCTTTTGCTCTTGTTGCTACATGAAAGCCATTCCTGGAGCTGTTCACTGCCTCCATGTGCCCCAAACAGCGCTCTCTCACCACAGTGTGATTACTAAAGTGAAACCTCTGTTTGCTCTCAACAAGCCAAAGTTGAATTCATTTTTTCCTATAAAAGCAAGCAAACTTTCCCTCTGTAAAATTAAACTCCAGTAACAAGACTTTAACACAACACTCCATCACCTAACTTTTCATGAGTGCTTCTTCCAATGAAGAAGGCACATAGCTAGAAAAAAACCCAAACCAACAAACAAACCAACCCCACCACCTGAGTGGCTACTAATCAAGATTAGCTATCCAGCCATTCAGCCTTGAGACGTTCTGGAAAACACACATGGAGAACTGAAACACATCAGGGGAACAGAAACCGCCTGCAGGTCAGAAAAGGATCCACAGGATTTTCTTCCACAGAAAGAAGAAAGGTATTTTAACCAGAAAAACTATCACATTGTACCTTATAGCAAAACTATCTATGTTGCAAAACCCCAATTTGAATAACTGGCTCAGATGTGTGCTTCTAGGCAATACTTATTTTATAGAGAAAAATTTCATTTTGAGAATATGTTCATTCCCATACTGTAATAGCATAAAAATATTCATGACTGATACAAAGATGGGAAAGACACTCTGGAGACCAGAGAATTTAGAAACAGCCTATCAAAGCAACTGCACAGCAGGTTTAAGATACACAGGTGAAGCATCTGAGCAGAAATATTTCAAAGCAAATAGCTGAGCTGGTACATGTGCATTATCTGCATCCAGTTTAATTCTACAAAATTAGTCTGCAGAGGTTCATTTATAAGCAAGGATTAGTTTCAGGACAGACCAACCAGGACAGAAACTACAAGCAAGTGACCTTGCTAAACACTCCTCACAAGCTCTACAAAGCACTGATTGTTCACAGTCTTTAGCAAACAGTTCATGTATCAGGTGACTCAACAGCTTTCAGCATAGTGCCTCCAATTCAAGCAGCAAACAGTACAGAGGGTTAACACCTTTTGTGCTAGTATCAACCATTTTGGCTTTTTCCATGGTTAGTCATATCAGTGGGCCAATGAGAATTTAACAATAATTGCTCCACACACACACACTGCAGCTCTGAAATGCGTAAGAAAAAGATGTGCTCAGTATAAAAGCACATCCAGTGCTTTCCTGAGCCTGTAGGTTCAGTCCTTTATCCAGTCATGTCTTCAAAGGTCATCATAATACTAGAATTAAACAAGAAAATTATCTACAGCAAGTGTACTTCCTCCCACTTTCCTGTTCCAGTGGCAGATACTTTTTAAATACTTGAAACAGCTTTTCACCCAGTGTAGTTCCTAGCACATGCTAACTTGACAAGCCTTTTTGAAAGGTTTGTTACTAAGAGGGCCTTTTCACATGCTCTGGAATCTTCTCCCTGCTGACATGCTTTCAGTGAACCACTGTGCTGCCATTTAACAGAAAGATTTTTAGAAACCACAATTACTCTAAAAGAACAGTAAACAGAGGTTCGCAGGGCCCAAGTGAGGCTATGAGAAACATTTTCTTTGAAGTATTAGGTCCAAGGTGTACCACTGACAGGGTACTGGCGGACCAACAAAGGTTTTAAATTCACTGGCTGCACTGAAGAACATTTTTAGGTTGAATCCTCTAGGATTTGTTCATTAAATGTCTCGGCTAAACATCAAACAGAAAGCCCAGCAAAGATCCAACTGAATTTCAGTAAGAGCATATGACAGAGTAGACACTGGTCCCTCAAAAATTCATTAAAGCCCACTTCAGAACAGCAATGTAAGGGTGAGATAACTGAGTGGATCCTGTCCCTCCTTTCCTGGGCACTAGTATGGCACACCCCTCATTATGCAATAAGCCACTTCCAGGTTAAACACAGCAGACTTTTTTGGCTGAGCTGCCATATAATAAGACCAGTGCCAGATCAGGCAGCAACAACTGCCTCCCAACAGCCAGCACGGGTGAAGCTCCAACTAAGGAAATGCAGACTGCCACTGACAGGGACAGGCCTGTTCTTTCCCATTGTCTATTTCCATGTCCTCCATGAATCAACTCTAGCAACACTCAAGTCAGCTCACTCATCCAACTGCCTTGGCTTGGAAAGTTTGGCTTGAGCAGGTAGTGGCAACATGTGAACCTCTCTCCCTCTCCACACAGCCCATGACATTACATCCTGCAGGTGTATGAAAGCAAATGAGATTGCTGCATATGCTGCAAAGTTAAAATAAAATACAAACACTCATATGGTGCTTCTAACTGGATTTCCTTCAGGAACAGAATCCTCCTCTCTACTCCTCCCTCAACTGCAGCTTCAGATCTTGGAATCTTAATAATTAACTCCTGCTTTAAAACAAATATAATTCCAGTGCTTCTTGATAAAGGAACTCCTATGTCAGTCATGACCTCTGTCACAAAGTGGTTTGAAAAGTATTAAAAAAGCCTTACCATTTTCTACCATGTTACTCAGAATTCAAAAGAAGTCAACATAAACTATCCACCTCAGCAATACAACAGACAACATAACACCTGCTCCAATGTTGTCAGTCCTCTATTAAAAACAAAGGGAGAAAGATTACCTGGGAGATATGGTTGATGGAGGACTCCATCCTCCGTAGCTGGGATGCTTGGATGTCCAGCAGTTGTAATACATTGTTGGCCAGTGCATTGATCTGATAAGCAACACTGGCTAAAGACTGAGTTGTGTAGGCTTTGGTCTCTTCTAATGCTTTCCTTTTATCTGGAGCCTGTAAAGTAAAAAAAACCAAGACATTTGCATAAGGCCAGGAACAAAAATATAACCTATATTTAGAAGACTCTATAATCCAGAAGATCTGACTGTGCAGTCAAAGTACTCTATCTGCATCTGCATTTTAAGAATTCTCAATAATAAGGAGCAGATAAAGAATTTAACCATAACAAAATTACATGCCAAGAAACAATTCATTCAGTAGAAAAAACAGTATCATGATTTGTTGGGAGTTGCGTTTCTAAAGCCTGTCTAATCCTTCATTTCCCGAAAAGCCTCCAATTCCCCAGGAACGCTGAAATGCAGCTTTTGCCATCTCTTATGAGGTCACACAGCCGAGGCCAGCTAAAGACAGACAAATATTTTCCCACAGCTGGATGTCCCCTACTGCACATGCTACCTACAAAGCCAACCCTCCAGCTATATTGGCTATTACTGCTGGCCACAGTTCAGAGGCAAAGCGAGAAGAGTATCGGGGTGGCATGCACAGAGGACTGCTGCATGCAGGAGTATTTGTGAAATTATCCCTCCTCACACAAAAGCTTAAACTTTCCTTGACAGCTGACAAAGTTAATCATTGACTGATAAGACACTTATTTGGAGGTGTCAGGAAACAGCACAGCTTCCCCCCAAACCACAAAAATACAAGAAGATGATCATCCACTTGCTAAGATAATGTCCTCAATCTGTCATGAGGCACTGTTCCCCACTCAGAGGGCAGGTTACTGTCCAACATCAGCAACTGCCTACATGACTTGAATTACATAGCACAAGTACATTCCTTCTCACTGGCAGGATGGGAGGGACCAACACCACCTCTACCTGGAAATGCACACACACCCCCCACTCTGAGGCCCTGTATCCCAGCTTGGTTGCTGGCAGCAGTAGCCATGCACTTCATCTGTCACCCAACTTGCGAACTGCAGCTATCCAGAACTCTCTTTTCCCTGTGTAGGAAAGGTGCACTGCATACAGAATGATTTGCAGTACACAGTGACTCAGTGCTATCATAGTTTCTTCATTTTATTTATTTGTAGACTAGTCAGTTGATCTCAGCAACCACAAGGAAAGGTTTATATTAACAGTTCCTTCCAACTAGACTCCTATTTTTACTGTTGATTTCTTTGAATAACACTCAAAACACACTGTACACAGCAGTTACAATATTAAGCAGGAAACAAAAGAAATTGTTTGCAATCAACCGAGCCCTGTGTTTGTCATTTTCCATGCACTCATTCATTCTTAAATTCTGTTTCTCATGTCTTCACCTCAATATTTTAGTTTAACATCCACAGGTGTTAAACCTGTCCCTAAATTAAAGTATGAAAAGATGCAACAGCTAGTAGAATCCTCCTTGTCAATCTTGCTTCAAGGAGCAAGCCAGAAGGCAAGCTGTTCATATACATTATAAAGTCGCAGTGTGACCTAAATACTGCATCATAAGCTATCCTAGGCTACTTTTAAATGTTTTTTTTTTTTTAAACAAGGGCCAATTCCCTCCCAATCCAGTAAATTTATTCATATTCATGATTAACATTTCTAGCAGTGTTTTGACACTTACTAAAACACTTGGTTAATGCCATCCTTCAAATGGATTCACATTAGATGCCTTCTACAATGTGAAGCAGCAAGAACAGTTCAGTACAATTTGTTGCCAAAAGGTAAACCAGCTTCTGCATGTACTAAGGCCACACTATGAAAAACTCCATTTTTTAGTATTTCCAAATGCAAACAAGGTTACCTTTCACCTAAAGAGTCTTGACATTTCTAGCTATTGACATTCCTAGCTGTCAGAAAACATTAGTAAAAGACATTTTGCTTCTTTAGAAAACAAACTTTGGTGGTGAAGGATCTGTAAAACAACTACGAAAGGTTCAAGAAGCAAGTTTCCCAACGCACCAAAAAGGTGTTTTAAACTTCAAACCATCACTAGCAGTACCTTTAAAAACACTGTCCTACTGAGCCAGAGCCTAAAGAAACAACTTCTACCACCCTGGGCAATGGTGAAAATGCATTCACCATGAATGCATGAAAATGAAGTAGCAGCTTCAGTCATACCTAAAATAAAAGGTTTACTGAAATAGACACAGCCAATAAGGTCGCAGTCAACACAATTCTAACTTCATATACACTCAAGTGTAGATCTGTAGTCTTTACCCAAGCAGTTTTCTTACCATGACATTTCAATTAAGTAATGCTAGGCTGAACACTAACAGGTTACCAATCCACAGCACTCAAATACTGAGTGTTGTCAAACAAAAAAAATCCAATGTATAAAGAGTTTCTTTTTGTCTCTAATGATATATTGATCAAATGCCTTGCCCTCATTTGCTTAAGCACCCAACATTTTAGTTATTTGCTCAAACGACTTGTTCGGCAGCAGTATTACATGCTCATCGTTGTGATGTGGAACATATTCCATGGCCTAACAGAATTAGAGCAGAAGTATTTTCAAGCTTTGCAGATAATTCAGCAGTTTCAGTTTGCAGTTTAACAGTTTGGATTAGAACTAACTTGACATACAATCTTTTGCGTTTTTTAATTAGAACTGCTGGCATCCACAAGATATAAGCTAAAAGGTTCACAGCCAGCAAAAGGTGGAATGGGGAGGGAGAAGCCAAGAGCTTATGTGGCAGCAACAGGAGGGAGCTGGGATTTCCAGTGTTCTTCAATTGCTTACTTTCATCTACCTCTTTAGGCAAAAACTAAGCGCAGTGTAGAATATAATGCACATGTTTTCATGCCTTCAGATACTTCAGTACAATACATCTGCAGCACTTAACTATTCAAAGACAACACAATACAAAGGCTGTCTACTGACTTGTTTTCCTAATAGTTACTTTATTATTTCATATTAAAAGTTTCAAAGATACTGTTGTTTGTCTGGTTGCCCTTGATATAAATGAAAGTTTGAGTGTCCTTTAGTAGCAAAGTGAATAATCTATATATGCAGAACATTGCAGCTTTTGAAGTTTCCCTCTGAAGGTATGCTCCCACCTGTATCTCTGGTTCACCCTTAACTGTCTTTTTACTATGGCAAAATTGCAGTTTGAACTCACTTTCACATAACTAGGTTTAATACTAAAAAGAAAAAACACACCAGGAAAATGTCTCCTATAATCCAAGTGGATACATGAAGAGACAGTTAAAACTGCACGGCATTCCACACTGCACACCACGTATTTTTGTGAAATGCAAATATGTATCATAAAAAAAATTCACATCACTACTATAGTCAAGTTAAAACTGATACTGCACCCAAGCAATTGCCACAGTAAAAAGAGAGTAGGAGCTTATTTACCAATTGTTCAGTTCAGTGGCACATCAAGTTCAAATAATGAGGAACCTGTCCATCACTTGGCAACTGATCTTTACAAGTCACATATTCAATTTTTATTTCCCCATCTCCAAACTGCCACCCACACAGACACATCCCCACATCAGTGTCTGTGTGGTGTTCAAGCCACCCAGCTTTCTCTCTCTCAGCCAATTCTCACCATCTTCTAGTTCATGCAGTACACAACTACATGTACGAGGTTCCTCCCAAAAATCACAGCAGAAAGAAATTAATTTGCCTCCTTGGTATGCGGCATGTGTTGCTCCACATTTTTTATTCTCAGCTGCTGGAACATCCGCAAACTTAAGTGCCTAAAACTCATCCAGGATAAACTACTAAGAGAGCTGCCCTAAAGCAGACCAATAATCACTAAGCTAAACAGAGCTGTTAATTATTCAGTGCCCAATACTTGTTCAGACACTTGGCATTCTTTTCAAGGGCTAGATCACTCTCAGCAATCAAGCTACAGGAGCAGCTTTACATCTGGTTTTATATGCCTTTGCTGTCATTGCTTATGCACATTTAATGAATTCAACAGTGCACCACATTCGTGTTTGCTTCACAAGTAAGTACAAGATAATTGTTTAGGTTTGTAGCTTGTCTTTTTTTAAAAAAATACTTCCACCGTTCATTGAGTAGCAAGAAAATTAGGATTACTACAATCAGTTGCCACATGAATTCAGTAATCTTTGTTGTGTATCAGCATTCACAGAATCCAACTATGCTAAAATCATCAATACACCCATTTGTATTCTCTTTTGTTCATGTTGTCATTTATCCATCTTTGACATTTACGGAATGTGTACTTCCTGGTAATACAGACACTACAGTCGAGGTTTCAAAGCTCTGCCTCCTTCACTAAGGTCTTGCCATTCGAGTTCAAAGATAGGGCCCCAACAAACTCGGGAATGAAATTTTACTAAAAAATGCACGTCATGCTTCAAGCGAATTGGAAATACTTCTATAGAACGGTGAAGATGTACATCCAGGCTGTAGCTTGGAGACCTCCCTGAGAACTAGCTGCAGATGCTCCAAGGTGAAAGGAATCTATTTCTGCAAAGTGATTTCCCCACTCAAAACAGAAACACTCAAACCTTCTCTAAAGCAAGAGCCTGTAACATTATGTGGAACTCCTGGACGCATCTATGAGTTTCAAGTTGCTGTTTCACTGATGTGATAAGGCTTTTAATAACTCAAAGCTGGTCTTAAGGGTTTATTTGTTACTTCTGACTGCTAACAGCAAAAAGCTTGGGCATTTCTAACTATTCACAATGTATGTTCAGCTTAGAACAAGTATTCCACATCCAAGCTGCAGCTATGCATTTCAAAGGTTTAAATATGCCATATACACTAGATAACGTTTACGTACTGAGCCAAAATTTACACTGAATATCAAGAACTGTAAATCAAGAGATCGTTGTAAATAACATGTGAACAGCCCATGGATACAGGTTCCCCCTTATCCACAGCTCTTGAAGCTTGTTAAGACTGCTTTATAAACACACTGTGCTATGACAGACTTTTTGGCTGTTACTGATAGTTATTACACCAGAATATCAGTAATAAACAAGAGAAGAAAGTCAAACTGGTAAGTCACAACAGCAAGTACCACAAGGTCCTGTATTCTGAAGAACTTTCAGGAGCCAACTACCTACCTGAAA